TTATGTATCCTGAGGTATATCTGTTCATATTCGTCTTCACACGTACGCATGTATATGCTATAGCAACTAACTAGTCATACAGCCAATTTCACACATACGGTCGATATCTAAAAACGCGCTTACATTACTTCGTGTCCGCAGAGATGATACTGCCCATACACACTGAGCTGCTACAGACACTCGAGGCCCGGAGAGGCGACGAGAAGGCAGTTACAGAATACATTGGAGATGTGTTCACCAACCTAGTACCGTACTTTAAAATGTACTCGCTGTATGTTTCCAACTACCCCGTGGCCATGGAAACGCTGGTAAAGTTAAAATCAAAGCCTGCGTTGGAGTTCCTGGAAGCGTGTCAGAAGGTAAAGGGTAATTTCTTCATCTATATTGTGTACATGTTGATTCCAAATGGGAAGTATATAACTTGTAGCAGAATCGTTCTAGTTATTCCGCTCGTCACCATCATACGGTAGAACCCGAGTCTGTGTCTATGAACTCACTTTGAGTATTAGAGCCGATGTAGCGATGTCAAGGACTTAGGCCAATTTCCATACCCTCCTAAACAGACCTTTAAGTACTATCCTCTATCCTACTATGGTCCCTCGATACGTGTTAGTGTCCTTAGCCGGTATTAATCGGCACACACCCGCACATGCGACACGCACAAATACTATCCTTCCTTCCTTCTTCTTCATCGTCTTAGCTGTCACGGTGTTCATTTTCTTTTTCTCTGTTTTTCTTTCTTTTTCTAACAGCTCCCAGTGTGTAAGGGGATGCATCTCAATTCACTACTACTAGAACCAGTACAGCGACTGTGTAGGTATCCACTACTGCTGCGCGAGGTATATAAGAACACAGGTGAGCTGTTGTCATACGTATTCAAAGACAGTTTAGCTTTGTATAATTGTATGTTTACATGATACTATATGAGGCATACTAATAAACATGGGCATGCTAGTACCAAGCGAATCGTACGTGTTTCTGTTTGACTGCTATCGAGCTGTGTATATCTTTATGTATG